GGGAAGCTTTTATGGATTGTTGTATTGCGGCATGAGCACTCTCCTCCACCACCTTTGGCTAGCACACTTGGGTTTCTCTGCTTGCCTTCCCAACCCTTGTGCAGGACCTGCTTCTCAACCGTTTTCCTCACCATCCAGTTTCCTGAGATTCCTCAAAAAATTATCTAGACCTCTTGTCTTCTTATGGAGCCCCTGACCTTTGCTTCCCAATTCAGTGTCAGACAAGGAAGGGGACAAAGGATAGAAGGGAACTGTATGAGATCATTCACTGTATAGACATTTTCCTTATGCATCCTCATTTCATAACAGCTTATGAAGCTTTTTTTCACTTATCATCAAATCAACCAACATTTACTAGGTACCATTTACCTCCTGAGGGTTAGGGACACAGTAAAGCATAAACCCCAGTCTCTACCCCTGAGAAGTTCACAGATGAGTTTTACAAGTGCTGTAATAAAGATGTGGGAACACATCAGAAGATCAATTAGTTTAGGTAAAGGGTGGGAGCTCAGGAAAAGATAGGCAAAGAGCGATTTAAACTAGACCTGGAAGGTTGGCCAACAGGGGAGGCCTCTCTATTTATCTTTAAAAATGGGCCTAGAGCAGAGAATCTGTTGCCCTTTGATGTTGGGAAATCCTTTATTGCTCTAATCTGAATCCTTTACACTGCATTTTACCCCATATTTCCTCTTCATTTCAACTTCAGTTGAAATAGCAAAAATGTTTGCCTAATACCCTAGTGCTCAGAAGCCTTTAACAAGTCATACCTAATCACTAGCCAAAGAAAAAAACTATTTTCCTCCCCCACCCCACCGAAGCCCTGTAGCTAGACTTTTTCAGCTGCTGCCCTCGGAACAGTTTCTGATGGATTCCTCTCTACTATGGCCCTCCCTAGAAGGGTCGGGGGAGGCAGGCAATCAGCCAGTGGGGGGGCAGGGGGGGAAAGGGGGGCCTGCCCCAGATAATTACATTTGGCCCAGTCGGCATGGTCAGCATTTTTCATTGTATCTTCACTGAAGACAGAATTTTTTAAGTTGAATAACATACAGAAGAGAGAAATAACATGCAGTGTCTCACATACCCCATTACCAGACTTCACTAGCCTGTGGGTGCCAAGGAAGTCATATTGATGTCCAGACCTAAGTTTCATTAACTCTGAGCCCCTACTGAAGGTCTATAGAACTTACTACTCGTCCCCTCCCCTTGCCAATTCTTCCTCAGTTATTTCTGGAAGCCCCTTAAGTTTCTCCCATAGGTTCATGGGTAAATCCACTATGTTCTTCCACTTCAGCCTCCCCACTGAGGGTCTGCTGTTCACACACCCCCTATAACAGGGTATGGCGTCAGTGTCTGTCCTCTGTAAGAACATTGGTCTCATAGTGTTCACTCTTGTTGCCCTCCTGGGAACAATATTCTCTCCCTTCTCTCCTGGGGTCACTGTAAGCTTGCAAGTTGCCAAAGTAGAGGGTGGGATGGGGCAATGGGGACCTTCTCACTGATTAGTTGTACTTTATTATCTGTGTCCCAAAGCAAATCTGCTTATATCTTTAGTTGCTCAAAGTCTTACATGATAACTCCTCTTCCATTTATCACCCTAACTCTTCCCTCACTGGGGCTGGAAATGAACCCTCAAGCCAAGATGGAAGATGACGGCTCATCAATTCCTTCCATTACCCTTATCTTTCTCTCTAGGGAGCTCTGCGCCTAAACAAAACCAAACAAATAAAACTCAAAACCCTCCCACTTCAATACAAAATAGCAAAACTGTGTCAACTGATGCAAGTAGTTACTAATATTTTTGGGGTGCGGTGGGGTGTGGTGGTGGTAAGAGGGTTTGTGGTGGTCTATAAACTCTATTCCATAATTCATAAAATCCAGGAGTATTGGGCATTTCTCTTATAACTTGAAAATGAGGTCAAAACTACCTATTCCACTCTTAAAGGCACCTCTTGTTTCCATAAGAGATATAATGCATGAAAGCTCCCATCTCATTGGCAATCTGCAAGAATCACAGGATAAATTAGCAATGGCTGTGGTCCAAAATTTAGCAGTGTTTTGTCAAACAGAATTCTTGCTCTACAAGAATTTTCTCTGTAGACTCTAAGAAACATCCACTGCCCTCCCCCCAAAACAAACAAAAACAATTTCAATCCAGATAATGCAAAAGACAGAAATGGGATTGCTGTGAAAGGAGACTTCATGGTACGGTGGGCAGAGCTCAGGGTGTGGCACTAAAGATGGCAATCGAATTCAGGCTCTGCCACTTACAAGCTGGGATCCCAAGAAAGTCCCTTCATCTTTTCGAGACATTTATCATTTCTAAAATGGAGTGATGATAATGTCTGCCCTTTTCCCCAGGGTTATGAGAAGTGCTTTGCAAGCTATAAGGTGTTATTCTCTAGAGGGAAGATGGAAGAAATCACAGCAGCTCAACCACATCCACGGGGCTTTCTCTAGGCTGATGGAGTCTTTTCCGCAAGTGGCTCTGCCCACACATCATGTCTCCAGCACAACTGTGAGGCCCGGAACTGACAGAACCCATCCTGACATACTTCCTTGTCTTAAGACACATTGGAAACAATCCAGTCTGGTGATGCCAGGCCTAGACCCAGAGGGAAGAAGAATGACTATGTAATAAATATGTGTGTGCTCACTGACACTGAGCATCGAAGTCCCCTTCCACATTCAGAGCCCACCTCTCCTGAACCACTTTCATCTCAGAATCATTGCTGTGCTCTCCCCAATAATACCATCCTTCACGTCAAGAGCATCGGTGATGTAACATATCTTAAAAGAATATTTCACTATTATCTTTGGGATTCTTTCCAAGCTACAGACATTCTTACTTCAGTTTTTCTTTTTTCCTTTTTGTCTTTTTTACTGACCAGTAATGGGATCGCAACCCTCGGTGTTGCGCCCACACAGCGCTCAGCCAGTGAGCGGGAACCGGTCTCCACATGGGATCCGAACCCTTGGTGGGAGCACCGCCGCGCTCCCAAACAGCGCACTCTCCAGTGCGCCACCGGGCCGGCCCGGAATTCTTGGTTGTTTATTTTATTTATTTATTTTTTTTGTGACCAGTAAGGGGATCGCAACCCTTGGCTTGGTGTCGCCCGCACCGGGCTCAGCCAGTGAGTGCACCAGCCATCCCTACATAGGATCCGAACCTGAGGTGGGAGCGCTGCGCGCTCCCAAGCGCTGCACTCTCCCGAGTGCGCCATGGGACCGGCCCCTTACTTCAGTTTTGATGCTGGCACTTTCTTGATCTTACCAGAAAGATCCTGCATGTGCAAAAAGTGACAAACACCAGATTGCTTAAACCAGGACAAGCAGAGTCCCTGCCTATACCCAAAGCCCACTCAACATTGGCACAAAAATTTATTTTCATAAAAAAAGGAGTGCCATTTGAGTCATATCCTTGCATAGTCCAGCCTGTGCCACTAAATGGTTGTGAATTTGGCCTTAAAAAGTGTCTTGTGGCATGACTGGCCTCCACCAAAGGCCCAACCCAACCCCAGCAGCAAGGGCAGCTCTAAGTCTACGCACCCCTCCCCTGCCTCCCAAACTTTTGGCCACATTCGCGGAGGGCTATATGAAGCTCTCAATATTCGATGATGATTGGCCTTTAAAAAAAAAAAGATTGGCATTAGATTTATTTTGATAGACAGGCTCTTGTCCCATTATCTGCCATTTCCCACTCAGAACCTTGTCCTTTTTGTTGTTTCTGTGTATTTGTCCCTGTAGATCTTGCAGACTATTGCTCACCCCTTCACATCACCTTTGCTGTCCCCTTTGTTTGTGGTCTTGCAACAGCCCCCCTGAGGTGAAGGTCTTGGCCCAGGGAGGATGGGAGCCACGATTCCCCTCATTTCCCCCAAGCTGGCCATGCAAGCTCCTGCGCTCTCCCCTTGCATCCCTCCCCTCCCAGGCAATGAGGGAAGACTCATCCTCCTCCTCCCTGATGTCCATTCCCAACTCTCATTCCCGCAGTGAGTCCCACCCTGTGATGCAATGCGAACACCTCGGCCCTGGGAGCATCCTGGAACAGCCTGGGAAAGGGAACGGCTGGCGAGGACATCCCCCACAGCAGCACTGTGCGCCTCGAGAACGTGGGTCAGGGTGGGCGACCCTGGTGGAGGGCGACCGCTGGTGGAGGACCTGCCTCTCAGTTGACTGGAAAACGGGACTCCAGCAATGCAGCAGGGCGACCTCCAAAACGATGGGACCTGCCCAAGGCCTGGACAAGTCAGCAATTCATTTTTCACCTTCTTCAAATGGTGAAAGAAACTGTAGAAACTGTATTTTCTGGTCTGAGCACTCATATATTCTAAGTTCAAAACCAAAGTGTTAACCCTGAACATATTAAAAACCACTGAGTTGTGAGCTTTCAAAGGGTGAATGTTATGATATGTGAATTACACCTCAATAAGGCTGTTACAAAATGGAAGTGTTTCATTGCCACTGTTATGTGTTTAAAAATCCCTCTTTCAGCATTAGCTTTAGCCGAAGAGGGTGTGTGGGAGGGAAAACACATAGGATCCCTATTAAAAGACCCACAAAACATCACTTCCATGCAATACACAATTTCTAGAACAAAGACGAAGCCTCAATAAACATCAAATGATAGTATGCGACAAAGGCAGGTAAAAGCTGAGGTAGAATATTGGCATAATGTTCTTAAAAGAATAATATTATGTGTCCAGTATTTAGCCAGCATAATAATATGTTGCTATTGTTTTCTCATGGTGGGAGATGTGAAATTATGAAGAGAGGGTTTCCGGATCAAAACAGGAAGAAAAGGTACCTGGCCCCTAGGAAGAATCTTCATTAATTGCACAATAAACAAATAAATACATAGGCACCTCTTCTCTACCCATTATTCTAAGTTTTCATTGATAAATCACTATGCCTTAGAAGGATCTATGAATTTTGCAATATGTTAATTTAATTTTATTTTTTTAATTAATTAATTTTTTAATGAGGAATAAAGAGTATTGGGCTCACACCAGGAGTCGCTGGGTCCTGAGGACCTCTGTGTATTTGTCAGTTTTCTTCTCCACGTTCTTTTTGGCCTGTTTCCTTAGCCTCATGAGCTGTTTTTTCTTTTGGTAATGGATCTTGGCCTTTTCCTTCCTCTTCTCCTCCAGGGTAGCTGTCACTGCCTGGTACTTCCAGCCAACCTCATGAGCCAGGCATCCCAGGTAGGCGAACTTTCTTGTAGGCTTCAGCCACTCAACCTTGAGGGCAGCATGAACCACCATTCGCTTTTTCTCGTCATAGAGTGGTGGGATCCCATCAAACACCTTGAGGCAGTCCAAGGCAGACTGGCCTTGCTTTGTCTTGTGGGGCAGCATGCACTTGTTTCTGTAGAAATTGCCCTAAATGTTGATGACCTCATAGTGCAGGAACCACCTTCCGGCCCAGCAGTACCTGTTTGGCCACGATGGCAGCCAGGTGGCCGAGGAGATGGCCTTGGCCATCGAGTACCAGGACCTGCCCCTCGGCCATCTTTGGCAGCCACCTGGGAAAGCACAATACATTAACTTTAAATTAATTTATTTATATAGACAGGAGTTCCACAAAAAATATTTTCCTGGGCCTGGCACACCTTAAAGGTGGCCTTTGACGACCACTGCTTGGCCAGTGGCACCATGGGGATTTCTGAGATGTTAGACTATGAAAAAAAAAAAATATTTTCCTGGGCCTGGCACACCTTAAAGGTGGCCTCTGACGACCACTGCTTGGCCAGTGGCACCATGGGGATTTCTGAGATGTTAGACTATGAAAAAACTCTTTTAAGTCATTTAGAGGTGAATTTTCTGTCACTTAGTGCAACTAAGAGAGCACTAACTAATACAAGGGCCGCATAGACTTGGCCTTTTTTTTACATGGAGTGCAAATTCCCTTGGGATATGTGTGGCCAGCTCTGTCTTGGATCTCCTTAGCTGCCTGGTCACTGAATGGGGACGGCTACTTGCCAGTAGTTCTCATCCAGGAGTAATTTTGCCCCTCAGGAGACATTTGGAAATGTCTGGAGACAGTTTTGATTGTCACAGGGGAGGTGAGAAGGGGAAGAATGTGCTACTGGCGTCTTGTGGATAGAGGCCAGGGATAGTCCTAAACATCCTACAATGTCTAGGGCAGCTCCTACAACAAAGAATTACCCAGCCCAAAATATCATTAATCCCCCGTGTCTTAGTCTGTTTGTCTGCTATAACAAAGTAAACTGGGTAATTTATAAACAACAGTTCCAGAGGCTGGGGAGTTCAAGATCAAGGTGCCAGCAGATTCAGTGTCTGTTGATGGCTCATTCCTTCTAGATGGCGCCTTCTATGTGTCTTCACGTGACAGAAGGAGCCAACAAGCTCCCTTGGGCCTCTTTTATAAGGGCTTTAATACCATTCAGGGAAGTCAAGAGCAACGGGTGGCCTGGTGACAAAGAGATTTTATTTAGGGCCTAGCATCTGAAACCCTTATGGAGAGAGGTTTAGAGAGTGTTAATAGCCCTCTCTCCCACAGCCTGTGAAGAAACCAGGCTTGTTTAAGTCCTGAAATGGCACTGTCATTGTCAACGGGATAAATGCTTTGTGCTAAAATAATACAGAGGACCAGGGTCTCTACTCCCTGAGGCCCCTGTGTTGGGGAAGGCAGGCTTTTCCAGAGGCTCTGACTGTGGAATGCCCCTGGGATCCTCTGCATGCCTCCTAGGCTCTCCTCCCTACTTGCATTCCAGCCCTGGCCTCTGCTCCTCAGAGTCCTTGCTAGGAGCCGGAATCTGAGGCTAAGGGTCTGAAACTCTGGACCCTCCACAGCCCCAGCTCCTGCCAGGTCCTACTGTCTTCTCTCGAGGGGCACCCTTCTTTATAGAGCCTGACTCCTGAAAAAGAGCACAGCTAGTCGCACACGTAATACAAGAACAATGAGAGAGAGGGGAGACTCAGAAGCAGCCAATTTGTTTTTTCAGTAAGTAATAAGACATTTTTATAGGACTGGTCAGATCACAACTCCATCGCCCCTTGGGAATTTTTTGATTGAGCAGAACTGTCCCCCGCAGTGCTCTCTCCTGTCCTAGCCCAGACCCTTCCCCCACTTAGTAGACTTTGCACAAAGCTTTAAACAAACAAACAAAAACCAGCTTTTGTTCCTGGGCTAAGCTATATCCTCTCAGGAAGGCTTCCTCCAGCCTCAAGCCTCGCCCCCCTCCCGGGGTGAAGTCAGGCCAAGAGACTGAAGGCTTCGGAGGGTGTGGGTGTTTTACATGGGAACAAGGAGTCCTTTTTTTGTGTTCTTTGTGTCATTTCCAGACAGATAGGAAGAAAAAAATAGTAAACATTCTTCAATTCCGAACAGAAGCTGAGAAGGAATTTTCTTCAGAACCTCCCTGGGGGTCAAGACTCTGCCATTGGGGATGGTGGGCAGGAGATAGAAAGACCAACTTCCCTTGAAAAAGCTCTAGTTTAGTGAAACCAATCTGTTGAACGTGGGATGTAATCAAAATGCAACTCAATTTTTTTGCCTCTCACTGTCCATTTGAACTACTCCCCAAGAGAAGCATTTTCCCTTCCCCTGGGTGAGAGCTCAGCTAGCCCCTCGCCACTTCTGGTCATGCTTAGGTATGCTCATTTTATGTGCTCAAATCCATTCTCGATTGAAAGCATCCAGTCAGAGATATTACATGACACTTTCATCTGCCTTCAAAAATAAATCTTCCTTCTGCCCCAGTTAAGGTCTGCACCTGGGGGCTGCTGCTCTCCCCAACTCGCTGGTTGCTTTCAGGATCTGAGTGGTGGTGGTGGTGGAGCAGAGGGGATGCAGGGAAAAGAAGTAAGGGAGGAGGGACTAGGGCCATTCTCACGTGGCCGCATGGTTGCCAGCTCTCTGGGCCTGGCAGATGGTGAGAGCCCTTCCCTTGAGGATTCCCATCTCCAAGGTTCTCTTCTGAAGCTCCCTGATCTGCCCTTCGTTCCAGGTAACCGCTTAGGACTCCATCTTCAGTACCGAGGAATATAACATCCCCCTCCAGCTTTTTTCTGCTAAAATCCCTTGGCCCTTCTAGGAGGCTCTACAGGACTTAAAATAGACCCTGCAGTGGCTCTTCCCCACCATGATCCACACCTGACCCACATCTGGTCTGTGGGAAGCACTCCCACAGCCCCTGCCCCAATCCCAATGCAGCCCCTCCTCCTAGCACAAGCCCAGGGGGCACACAGCTCTGAATGGCTCCATAGGAGTCCCCATCTATAGGCTTAAGAGAAGGTGGGAGGGCCCCAACCCCCTTGGGGGTGGAGCTTACAGCATAGCTTTGCCCATTCTGGAGGTTTCTATTTCCAACCTCCCACATCCTCCACTCTCTGACCCTTTTTATATTCTTGATAGACCAAGGGCCCCAAGTGCTTTGCAACTGGTTCTCCATCATTTCCTTTGCAAATACTGCATGTGGGGGTCTGTCTCATGCTCAGTTTGCTATCTGATATTGTGGTAGCCTCCCTCCAAGATGGCCCCCAATGATCATGACTTCCTGCTCTTCACATCGTTGTGTAGTCTCCTTGCATCCCGAGGAGGGCTGACCCTTGTAACCACTTGCTATTGCAGAAATGATATCATGCAACTTCTGAGACTAGGTCATTGTTGTGCATTGAATTGTGTTCCCCAGAAAGCTATGTTGAAGCCCTAACCCCCCGTGAATGTGAATGTGACATTGTGTAGTCTCCTTGCATCCCGAGGAGGGCTGACCCTTGTAACCACTTGCTATTGCAGAAATGATATCATGCAACTAGGTCATTGTTGTGCGTTGAATTGTGTTCCCCAGAAAGCTATGTTGAAGCCCTAACCCCCCGTGAATGTGAATGTGACCTTATTTGAAAATAGAGTCTTTGCAGATATAATCAAGGGTCATACTGGATAGAGTGGGTCTTACATCCAATGACTGGTATCCTTATAAGGAGAGAGACACATAGGAGATGGACACGGGGAGAAGGCCATACTAAGATAAAGGCAGAGATTGGAGTTATGCAGCCACAAGCCAAGGAGCACCTGGGGCCACCAGAAGCCAGAAGAAGCAAGGAAGATTCTCCCCTAGATTATTTGAAGGGAGTGTGACCCTCTGACACCTTGATTTCAGACTTCTGGACTCTAGAACTGTGAGAGAGTAAATTTCTTTTGTTTTAAGTCACCTTGTTTGTGGTACTTTGTTACAGCAACATTAGAAATCTAATACAGTCATAAGAGACATTGTGACTCCTCCTTTCTCTCTCTTGAATCACTCATTCTGGGGAAGCCAGCCGCCATGTCATGAGTTTACTCAAGCACACCTGTGAAGATGTTTGCATGGCAAGGACCTGAGGCCTCCTGTCAACAGCAAGCACCAACTTGCCAGCATGTGAATGAGCCAACTTAGGAGCAGATCCTATAGCACTAGTCAAGCCTTCAGATGACTACATCCTTAGTTGACATTTTGACTGCAACCTCATGAGAAACCCTGAGCCAGAATACCCAATTGAGCCATTCCCCAGCTCCTGACCAACAGAAACTGTGAGGTAATAAATGTTTACTATTGTTTTAAGCTACTGTACTAAGTTTTGAGGTAACCTGTTAATGCAGCAATAGATAATTAATACTGATATCAATCATACTGGGCCCTCAGTATAACATGAAACAGGAAGCGTTCCATTGTATAATCCTTGGAATGGTTAGGGGCCCTGATGCCATGCTCTCTGGGGATGTTTCCAGTGATGGGCTCCATGGCCATTTGTAGCAAGGTGCACCACTTGTTATTCACCGATGAGCACCTTCCATGTGCCAAATGCTGTGTTAGGGGCTGGGGCCATAGATGTGAACAGAACAGATATGGGCAAAAGGGACTGCACTCATTTTTACAGAGTTGGGAAGAGAGGCACGGAGAGGAGAAGACTTCAGTGGTGTGATTTTGAAGAGGCACACAGAGAACAAGACGCAAGGGGCCACAAGAACGGTGGAGACAGAGCTGGAACTAGGATCCAGACCCCACCTCTGGACTTGAATTTGTGCTTTCTGGACTACACAGAGGCTGGTTCATGGTACCAGGGTGTCTGCAGATCCGGGAGGCATGGACTTGAATCCCTCAGGGACACTGTTCTTTGGACAATAGTGTCTCTATGGAGCCCAAAGTCCTGTGATCTTGTTTCTGCTTTGCCATCTTGGCTTAATAACTCCCCTTAGAGATCCTTTGAACCACAACACATCAGCAGCCCTGTCTGAAGCATCACAAGACTCAAGGTGAGAAGGCTGGCCCATCGAATCCACCTGCATCTGAATCATAGCCCTTCTTAATGGTGGTATTTTCTGAAGATGTTGGATCACAATTTGCCACCTACTAAAATCTACCAGCCTGGCCCTCCCAAGGACAGATTGCACATCTTGCAGATAAGAATAGCCACCGTTTCTTGAACCTCTACTCAGCAGCAAATGATTTCTCTAATCTTCATAACATCCTCTCAAGGTAAGGGGTCATGATCTACACTCGGCAGTTC